TGATTTAAAGCTCTAAGTGATGCAGTACAACAGACACGTATGTTCAGTCGAACTACGACGCTGATTATTCTGCCAGGTCCCAATGTGAGCAGGTATAAAATTTTAGCGAAGCGTTAGTTTGTTGGAAAAACAAATACCTAGATACGAAAAAAATAGTTACATTTCCAATAAGGTAGTGTATGTAGAAGTAAATTATTTTAAGTTGAACTATATTTTTTTTATAATACCAGGTGACGGCACGAACAAGTCGACACGCCTGCTCATACCATTTGCAGTGTTAGTCAGAGCATTACATCATAAAGATCTGAGGGCATCGCCACCTTTGTTCAAAACTCTTAACATACTACCACTGCCTTGTATGTACATTTTTGAGGTGTCTAATTTTGTCAAAAAAATTATAAACTTTTTAAAAGGACACGGGACGTTCACAACAGAAATGTAAGACACCCAGACAGATTAGTAAATCACAGTAGTACCAAATTAAGTTACTACCAGAGACAATGTGGAGCCATGTTTGTGAAAATATATAATACTTTACCCTCTAATAATATAAAATATATAAATAGTAATCATTTATTTAAACGTAAGCTGACGTCATGGCTGAGAGATAAAAATTTCTACTCTATTACAGACTTCTTTTCATATAAAGCTTTTCAAATTTGGCTATAAGTATAATTGATTTGACCTACAATGACATGAATTTATTTTATTATTATTATTTTTTACTTCTGCATGACATGACAATAGCTTACAAGTACTTGTAACATGTATAATTAATAACTATAGCTACATTACTACAATTAGCTTCAGATTTATAAAATTTGTTTAAAAATGAAAGAGATTTGTAATGTATTATATATATTGACTATGTATTGAAATAAAATTAGAACTTTAACTGTTTAACTGTCTACTGACATTATTTGTAATTTAATCAATTTAATTCAATCACTATAAGTATAATTTTGCATGCCAATTGTGTTCCATCTTTTGTTCACCATATTTTAAGCAAATAAATTTTCATTTCATTTCCACTGCGCCTGTTACCCTGAGACATAAGTTGACAAGTCTCATGTGCCTATAATTTCACCAGCATCGTTACCCTACACAACCGGAACACAGTAATGTAACCATTACTCCTAGGTGGTAGAAATAGGTAAGGTGGCAGTACTTCCCTTGGCGAGCTCTTTCACAAGGAGCTCTACAGCTTTCGCCATCTATTTTTAATAATTTCGTGATTTGTGAGGAAGGCATTGCCTTGTTCCCTCCTACTATAGATCGTAACTCTGAAAAAGGTCAATATTCTGTCTTATTTCTAGATAGCACTGATCAAAAGCCTGGAAGTGGTTAATTTTAGATAAATGGCCATAGCCATATAAATTAATTTCTCTGTAATATGAAATCGAAGAAGTCGTTTTCTTACTTGTAATTTTATTCAAATATTGGTCATGAGCTAAAATAATTTTCTGAACTATGACAAATATGCGTGTCAACAGATGGCATAGCCGCCAGACCCAAGTAGAATATGTAGAGGATCTCGACGTGCTTGTAAAATTAAAGACGAATTAAGTTGACTGTAATATATTGGCAATAGGTAGCTGGTTTACAGGAGTAGTGCCATTAATCGCTAAACAGTGGTGGTTTCTTATGAAAGTACAATTCAAAAGTGAACGTCCTTTTTGACCTTTTTGAGTTCATACAAAAAGTTCGTTAAATTGTGTGTGCGTTCGCAATAGATGGCATTGTGTTTTACAGACTAGTTTATAAATTAACTCTTAATAATATGGGTAGCTGACGCTAATATTAAACAAAGTACAAGAATATCAGGCAGTATCCATAAAAATGGATGCAATAAGCGCCATCTAGTTGATTTGTTTGTTATCACTAGAAATTAAAGTAGCTTTGATAAATTGTAGCTCGTCAATGTCAAACAAATTAGATAAAAAATAGCTATTTGGTACACGTCGCCACATCTGGTATACCAATACGTACTAAATACCCGACTACGCTGTTTTGTATTGCGATTACAGTCCATGCTCCCACGTAAAGAATCATAAGATCAAACTCACATCTTGGGGATGTTTTAATGCATTGAAAGGACTAAACATACGCATTATTTTTCATGCATTATATATTTTTTTTGCTTTCGATAGATTATGTAGAAGAACTCGATGTCTATATAGTGCGTGTGTACTCTATGTGCATCATTTATTCTGCCTATACCTTTTTATTAGTGATATCCTTGCATCATATTGTAATACCTTTTCTGGGCTTTTATATTTGCTTTTTAAGCGTCTGCCATTTACTTTGCTTTTTAACCGACTTCAAAAAAAAGGAGTAGGTCCTCAATTCAACTGTATGTTTTTTTGTTGTATATACGTATGTTACGCGATAACTTCGCCACTTGTGAACCGATTTTAATGACTCTTTTTTTGTTGAAAAGAGGGTACCTCCATAGTGGTTCCATTAAATTTTGAAGAAAATCATCCACCTCTAAGGGTGGCTGTTCATCATGAAGAGTCATTTTTACAAATAGCGCGTAAATTTTATTATAAGGAGCAATTATTTTAATCGTTGATTTTGCTATTCTCCAATTCAAGGCGTTTTTCTCCCTCAATATACTTTGAGTAGTGAGAACCGATTTTTATTATCTCCTGTGTCAAGTTCCGTATAGTGGCGAACTAGGGGATGAATCCGGGTTTGCGCACTTTCCGGTAACCGATTTCAATAAAACTTGGCAAATAGATGTAATTCCACGTACTTTTGAGGTCGGTTTTTTTAGTACTCTGTACTGAGATTATTTAAAATTTTCTTTAGTCAAAACTTGAAAAAATTATTGCTTAGCAATACGACCCTATTGCACTTTGTTTTTTGTATCTTTATTATGGATGGCGTACCATTAAAATATTAGCCCCCTGAGCTAAGATGATAATACAAAAAAAATGTTTATTTTTGGTATATTTATCATGTTTTGTCAAAGGTTACGGAACAAAAGTTGTTATTGATGTTAGGCATCTAGTCTCGTTAAGTATTTAAAAAATAACCCTGTATAAATAACAGAAAGAAGGATGTCGAAAGCTGAACAAATAATTATAAAATCAAGCAAGAACAGTTCATGGACTTTGCTATTATAATTTTACGTTTTAATTTATGCAATTGCCTTTTTTGATGCTATTATAATGAATCACAAGTATTGATAGGTCTCTTTAATTAATGCACATCGTCAAAAACACTGGATCACAAAATATATGGGATGTTGCCAGCTTTCTTTTAACCATAAAACTGGCATTACTTTACACTTTTCTGTTGAATGCGTAAGAAGATTCTCAGAGCTAAAAGAGAGAAGAAGAATCCAGAACAGTACATCAAGTTATATGCATTCTTTTACGAATATCATCTATAATTCAACGAAACAAGATCCGCAGTGTGAAACTTGATGTGATTTTATCAGCAGTAGCCATTGACTTACAATTATATGGACGTCGGGTCCGCGCTAAAAAGTGTCCGCACTTGTAAGGCGCTAAAATCATATACAGAGCGCCAAACTCCGCTTTAGTCTTCATTTGTTCGACTGACAGCGCGATACTGCGATGACATTACAATTTAAATTTCGAATAGGTTGACTTGGGACATTTTTTTCGTGGTTTTTGTATTAGACCCGTCGTCCATTTATTTGTAAGTCAATGGCAGTAGCAGTAGAGTTAGAGAGTAACATTTTCATACAAAACTGAGGGCATACTTGCTTGGGATATATTTAGTACGTTTTGATGTACACGTTAGTTACCGAAAGGAGTTAGTAACTTCTAATAATAGTGCTTGACGTTGTACATAAAGGAATTTTTGCAAGAGCAGTTATTGTTGATAACTCGTGTTCAAGTGTAAGGGCTATTCAAGAATACTATAATGCTACAGAGTGCTGAATATGTGTCATAGATTATTACGCTGTGTTAAGAGAACTGTTCTACCTGGCCTAGTACTTTGATCGCATCGAGTATATATTTGATGGCTATTGAAATAATATAGGAGATGTAGCTGAAGAGTTCATCCAGGGAAATACTGGTACCTTACCTATTTCTGTCGCCATGCTGTAATGTGAACATTACAGTGTACCGGTTTTGAAGGGTAACCGTGCTGGTGAAATTACAGGCACTTACTGGACTTTTGTCTCAGGGTGAAGGGCGCAGAGGCAGTGCACCTCAGATCTTTGTGGTTTAAAGCTCTGAACGGCACTGCAACTGTTATGGACAGGCGTGTCGTTTACCATCAGGCGCATGACTTGTTCGTCCCACCACTTAATATCATACAAAAAAAACCATTATTTCTCCTAAGGCCATGGTTTTCTCAAATCTGTAGAGAATGTTTTATTTTCTTCGAAAATGATTCTAAAGTTGTAACTTTTGCATATGTCGTTGCGTTTAGTGTAATAAGGTCACATTTTCACAACTTTTCCAATGTTGACAACTTTTCCAATTGGATTTATGGGCTTTAGATCGCAAAAATCCAAATGGCAGTGTCCTTCGGATCTTTGCTATTTAAAGCTCTGAGAGCCATTGCAACTGTTATGGACAGGTGTGTCGCTTACCACCAGGCGCACGACTTGTTCGTCCCGTCACTTGGTTTCATAAAAAAAACCGTGTTTACTCAATACCAGTGAGTTTTATTACTTGATATCCAAAAACTAGAATGTTTATGTTAAGCGCGTACGCAAGACCCTCAGTTGTAAATAGATGATTTTTTGAATATTTTTTTAATGTAACAGTTTAAAACGCATGCAAGTATCTCCTCACTCACAAAACTTGTATTAATGCATTTGTGCAGAAATAGAGCCTTATGTAATCTACGACGATCTCGCAATAGGCGCTGGTAATGGCATATCTATGAATAATAGCTAGGTTTGTCAAAAAAATAATACTGAATTGTATTATTATGGGTTTATTGCAAAACCAATCTCTTTATATTAAAAAAAACATACAATATCACGTAGATTCAAATACCTGAATCAATCCCATTATCATTAAACAAACTACACTTTATACATTTTTAAATATAAATATAAATACCTCATTTTACTAAACATAATAATAAGTTAAGTAATATTATTATAATCTCATTCTTCTCTGTCGTTTAAAGAAGATATATTTAAAAAAAGAGAAAAGAAAAAGATTTTAGCTACCAAGTAGCCACAAAGCAATGATTTCTTAGCTTTTCGCTATTGCTATTAGTTGTCCTCAGACTTGTTCCCTGAACGATGTATCTTGGACCTTTTCAAGACGAAATTGAATAGGTATTATTCAGTGGCATGTTCCATCGTCGTCACTTTCCGTCCGATGAGATGGAGGTGGAATGCGCACGTAAATATTTAATAATAAAAAAACAATTCTATATATGTTATATTTCTATAACAATTATATACTTAAATTCGCGTATGTTTGTTTTTTCAAACAAACCAACGTTTCGATTGGGACCCGTAAACAGCCTAAAACGTTAGTGCTTTTGAAAAAAAAAGGGAAGAAATATACACAATTGTAATACAGAAAAAAAATAGTTTTAAATTTCTAACACAACTCAGAATACAAAACTATTCAAGACCACCATCCAAATCATTATTAACTTCTTCAACCAGCTTACCTTGCTGAGCGTCAAAGAATCCATTCTTCAAATAGTTAAACAATGGATTGGGTATCTCATTCTCCTCGGAATTACCAACCAATTCCGCGGTCCCGGAATTTCCAATATTAATATCCGAACACGCCAAGAACTGCTCCTGATTACCGCATCCAAGACCTTGGGTACCGTTGTTGCAGATACCCCAATTGTTACCAGCAGTGTACCTCCATTGCAAGACACAATGTTCACATACTAAATCTCGTGGAAGCCTATAATTGACGTTGTATGTCGTACTACCTCTAGTTGGATAGTATTTCGTGCCGCCATTTTCGAGTTCTAACACGTATTCGTCGAAGCATTCCTGATCATTTCTTTCAGGATCCGGGCATATTTTGAACTCCCAGAAGCCCAAATGTGAAGCAGTTATTTGCACCGTTGTTGTGATTGGGGAGCCTGGCGTGTATCGAGCGACGATGATTCCGTCCCCGTAAATGCCACCAAGCTCGTGAGGTCTTGGTTCAGGTATGTTGTACGCGTCGCCACAAATACCACACCTGAAATTTAATTGCGGTCTGTTTTTAGACGTTATGTTGCCATAGTTAGGAGTTTCATTCGTTTCTAGATTCTCTCTCAGAATCAACGTGCACGATAATTTGAAGTCCTGTCATATGAAGGCAAGATGACGTCAAAATACATGGGCGTAATCTGGATCCCTGTTGTCCGTAATAAAGATTAATTATTATGATTATTATTTTGCAGCAGAAAAGAGCTGTAAAGTAAGTAGTGTGGAACGTTTTTGAATTGAGCTATCTCAGTACCTAAAAAGCGCTTTGCTTCTTCATCAATAGTGCGTACAACAAAAGAAGGAGAGACAAACTCTACACGGCCCGTATTTCCCAACAAGGACAATTTAGAACTATGATGGGCTCCGGATGAGGAGGTCTCGATTGGCGGTAGAACCGATTTAGGAAATAAACTTTTTTAAATTGGTTCTGGATTAGTTCCGGGTGGTGCTTTGGTACTTCCTAGCTCGGGACCATGTACCATAAAGTTATTTTTAGAGAAACGCGTAGGTACCATAGTTGGTCTCATAAGCACTTAACATTAGGATATTTCAATGCAATCCGAAAATAGTTAGAGCAAAGAAGCAATTGGATTTATGGAGTAATAACATTGTTCAAAATTAGGTACCAGTCTAGTGACTGCTCATGTTTTATCACATGGGATAGAGATTTAAGGGATCGGGATGTATTCTCATGCTCACTGTTATCTGTAAGATTTATTCCTTTAAGACATTCTTGGAAAAAAGTTGATTAAAAGAGACTAGTTAAGGAATTTTAACCACCTCTAAAAGTCATATATTTACTGCCTCATGCAACGGTATTCAACATCAACAATATAGAATAAAAATAATTTGAATTTATATACTCACTTGCCCCCGTTGGTAGACCATTGCACAGAGAAGCCCCCGCAGTTTAGACCATCGTCATCATAGTTATGCTTAGTGGGGAAGCCGAATCTCCAAGCTGATGCTCTCGAAGGAGGCTGGAACACTCGACCATGGCCCAACGCGCATGCCAGCAACGACGCTAGGACGAGAATGGTTGGTGACATCTGAAAGGTAGTTTTTAGTGTGAAATAGCCTTGTAAAGGGCTGTCTCATGACTAGCAATTGGATGTAAGTTTCATAGATTTATGAAGGATGAAAGGGAGGTACTTGCTCTGCAGTAACGGCTGAAAAATGAAAATGAAATAATAATAATAATAATAAATAATAATAATAATAATAATAATAACGCACACACTCAACATGTTGTGAAACAAAATGTTGTAATTTTAATTATTGAAAAAAAAAAAAAAATCTAAGCTGTGTCTAATATGTATGTCTAAATAGTGTTGTGTGAAAAATAAGTCGTCAGTACAACATTAAAGCGTGAAACACTGTTGTTGTTCGTCTCCTCATTTTATATTATAAAGTAAAATTAGACCCGCCGCGGTCCCGACCCGCACCTGCTCTCGCCGTGTTTCACGCTTAAGTATTTATTTATTTTTATTTTTACATTTTAAGAAAATTGACGGATAAATAATACAATTATAGTATACCTAAATATGAGTAACCCAATGCTATTTACGAATTGATACCAAGATTGACCAATCACAAAGAAAAAATTCGTCGATCCGACTGGACCAGTGTCTGTTGCGACAACGTACTCTTCAAATCCACCTTTGTGCTTGTTGCGGATATTTGTGTTGGATTTGAACGGCTTTTTTTGCTGTATCGATTAAAATAACAAAATGGATTATTTTCGCTAAAATGATGAAAATGATGGTAGTAAAAACATGATAATAAAAATAAATATTGCGTTCAATTTACCTTTAAATTTTGGGACTTAATGTTTTTATAAGTAAGTCCTGTTGAGGTTGCTTTACAACGTTTTCCGTGTGTAAAGGAAGTTCTTACTGCGCATCGGCGCCGTTAACCTGTGTTTTATACGTAAATTTATGTCACCCTTGGAAGGGCTTATCACAAGGTACTCCAGATAGCGATTTTGTGGCATTTATCATCGGTTTATACAATTCTATTATTTTTCAATCACTTTCTTATCTAGATAGAACGATTAAATGAGGGCTTGACATGTTTTTGAGGAAGTAAGTATATGATATGGAAAAGTAGGAAACGATATGAATACTAAATAGCGCACGCAACAGTGATGTAGGCATCACAAACACGTAGGATAGTGATCTGCGTCGAATTTTTTTTTTGGATACATTTCAGAGTCTCCACTGTTCCTAATTCACACTCCGGCCTTATGTCAATGACTAGGCCTTCGTTTGAAGCGCTTTGCATCCTTCTTCTTAGTACGTATGGCAAAGGAATGTAAGCGTAGTCCACATTTGTTTCAACACACGGGACTTCGAAACCGTAACACAAGTGTCACGCGGACAAACGACACGACCTAATGTCACGCACTGGGCCTTTGAGACAGCACGTACATTTTGCCGTGTCATACATTTATGGCGTGACAAGAACGTACAACATCGCGTAACATTATAGCAAGTGTGGACGGTGTCACATGTCACGGCCCGATCTGTCCGAAGGTGGTTACTTCAAAGGATTCAAATTTTCTGCCCTTGTCCGGGTGTGAGCAACCGTCCACACTTTTGTTTTTACCACACGTGACAGACACGATACAATTTTTTGCTAGAGCCTGGACGCAGTCGATGCGCACACGCCGCGCAGTGGATGAACAAAGAAGCTTGCTTTTCGTAAGATTTGCGGTGCCGCACTACGCTGCTGCCGTTAATTGTGACATTTAAAGAAACCAGTAAAAAAGTGACAGGTCGTCACTATTATTATTATTTTCTAGGTGAATAAGGTATGAAGTTACCGCACGAGAAAAGTAGATATGTTTTACTAATTTCATTTCTTTTTTTTGCACACTATTTTCTCGGTTTTGAGTTTTATATCCTATTACTTCAAATCAATTTGAACTTTTTTGTTTAGAAGGTTAGATTCAAAATGCCAAGTAATCCTTTGCACCAAAAATGCTCTTCCAGCTGCTGCTCTTTAAGTGTGACTTGACCCTTAGTTGTACCTAATAAGCTACATTTAATTTTGGAAAATAACTAATCAGGAGAAAAGTTTAAAGGTTCTGTGAACGAAATTCGTCGATATTTTTTTAGGATTAAATAGAAAAGTTATAACATTGCCTATATGCATATTGTCGGTGTTTTGGAAAAAGGGTGAAAGCGTCATTTCGACAATTTTTTCAGAACAGCATGTTTTAGTTTTTCACGACTGTTTTAAAATATTTACGTCCTTTTAAAACTTAGACTTAATTAAAACCAAAATTGAATTTGAAAAAAGACGTAAAATACTTAAAAACAGTCGTTAAAACCTAAAGTATGCTTCCCTGAAAAATTTTCGAAGTAGCGCTTTCGCTTGTTTTTTAATAACTTGATTTTTCAATTTTTGAATGTGGCTTTATTATTCCAAGGATACGGGTAAGTTATTGAATAAAATTTCACCCCATTGACAATATTTTTTTTTATAAAACACCTTACTTATATCGTTATATAAACGCAATAACAATCGAACATCTATCTGTAACAGAACGTAGGTATAGATTTAGATAATAGTGCGTAATTTTTGACTACTGACTAAAAAATAAAATGCAAGTGCTTCGAGAAGTTCGTAATAACTTTTGTGAATAAATAAACATTAGACAACATCACGTACTGATCCCAAAGTAAGTAACTAAAGCACTTTTGTTATGGAAATCAGAAACAACGACGGCACCACAAACACTCAGACCCAAGACAATATAGAAAGGTTTAGTTTCCTACATTGACCCAGCCGGGGATTGAACCCGGGACCTCAGAGATGGCGACACCATGAAAACCGGTGTGCAAGCCACTCAACCACAGAGGTTCGTCACACACATTCACATTAACATTTCAGTTTATGTTTATTAAAAAATGCACTGTAAATAATCAGCGAGATGTTAGTTAACTGTATTTAGTTAACAGTACAAATACAGTTAAGTAGAAGAGTTATCAGAGTTTGCCGAGTAAACAGCAGCACGAGTCGGACGGAGTTTCCGAGGTCTTAACACAAACTAGCCCGCCTTCTTTATACAGTCACTGTAACGTGTGAGGAGCGTATAGGATTGCGCGCAGGGTAGACTGCACGCGCAAATGCGCGCGATTACCTGTTTGAACATTTTTAAGCAAACGTTCTTTCGCGCGCGATCACTCGTGTTCGTTTTTGTTACAACGGAAAGAGCGTCCTTGTAAAGGCTAATAGCGCAGGATAGACCGCGTGAAACTGACGCATGTTGGAGTGAGCGATTTTTTCCTTCCCTTTCTTCCCGAATCTTTCCCTTTTCCCCACGCGCTCAATTGAGCACGACTGCTGTATCACGCGCAATAGAGTCTCTGTGTAAAGCCCGCTGATGCCTAAACTGAGATCAATTTTTTTAACAATTCAATGTCATTGCAAGGTTTATTATCTCGATGATTATGTGTAACCTTTTGTGACACCGTCTTCCTATGCGGTTGGATGACAGACAGACGAAGGGTTCGTGTTATTTGGTTTTAGCTGATTATGTATGTGTGTTTGTTGTGAATGTCTTGACAAATACAGCCTCGACCCTCAGCCTTATCTTTCAATGACCTACTTACCTAAGTTAATAAAGACGATTCTTCCCTATTTTGAATGGGCTTTGACATTTGTCGGTGTACAATTCAGTTGAATCCGTATAGTACGTGTGTGGTTAGAAGAAAATCAGACTTAAAAATTTATAAATGAAAGTAGGACTTGCGATGCGTGATTGTAAATGATTTTAATATTTGACTCTTTAGTAACTTTAACTGCCTCCGTGACCGAATGGTTACCATGCCTTCCACCCAGGGGTCTCGAAGTCGATTCCCGTGCCGGAAGAAATATTTGTATGGCCTACATCAATTTCTCTCGAGAGTTTGGGTGTAATTTGTGGTTGTCTATGTGTGTGTCCATGTTTCCGGTGTTACAGGGTTTCCCTATGAGTGTGTGCGTTATTATTATTAAGAGACCAGGGAAAGAATGATCAGAGTCACTTACAACACATTTTGAGTTAATAATACCGCCATCCTGTACGGTAAACGCTGAGCGTATTTTGCCTAAATCAGATAAAGGCTAATAAGGTTCAATGTCCTGAAAAACTCTCTGTCACAAAAATGTTAACGACTAAATTATTTATAATGTTTTTTAGTTCAAATGGATTACGTAGCGATTACATACATTTATGTCAGCATGACTTTATTTCAGGTACTATTTATGCGTCTCTTTTTACCAATATTTAAAGTTTCTCTAAATTAAAAATTCTTTTTTCCTATATTTCTCCTCAAGTGACTTTGATCATTCTTTCCCTGGACTCTTCAATTACTAATCCTGTCATTCGAATGGCAAATTAGTAACCTATTAATTTTCGTATTCAAACGATATGAAAGATCATTCATTACTAATCCATAGATTCCATAGAACATTTCTGCCCAGCCCTCTCTGACATATGGTAAATACCGTAAATGAGACGAGGACAGGGATATATTGAAATGGACATGGTGAATGGTTCAGAGTTGTTCCAACATAAAGATCATTCGATTTGTTCACCTGACCGAATGGCAGGAGGGGTATTTGGTATCGGTAATCACTCAATTGCCGTTTTACTTGTAAACATTGGTATTTGTTTAAACAAACAAATACCTATACCGAAAAAATTGGTTAATTCCCTAAGTTATATACACAATTCGTTTCAGAAGTCCGTGTTGGAAATTAAGTTATGATAATAATTAATTATAGAGCCAACTTTGAGTAAGAGGTCAATCGTCGAATACGACTCGGTTGAGCAGCTTTCGGGAAGCTCCGGGACGCCTTCTCGTCCGCAATACCGCAGTCCTTGAAGACAAGTCTTCGAGCAGTCCGTGTTGCCAGGGATGACCTACGGCTCTGAGACGTGATCACTTACTACGGGCCTCATAAAAAAGTTCAAAGTCACTCAAGGAGCAATGCAACGTGATCGAATCAGAAATGAGGAGATCCGTAGAAAAACGAAAGTCACTGACATAGCTCACAGGATTAGCAAGTTGAAGTGGCAGTGGGCAGGGTTTATAGCTCGTAGAACTGACGGCCGTTGGGGCAGAAAGGTTCTCGAATGGAGATCACGCATCAGAAGGTGTTCAGTGAGACAGCCCCCTACTAGGTGGGCGGATAACCTGGTAAGGGCGGCGGGTAACCGATGGAGGCACGTTTCGTCGGCTAGTCTGGAAATCTTTGGGGGAGGCCTATGTTTAGCAGTGGACGTCTTCCCGCTGATATGATGATGATGATGAATAATTAATTTTAGTCAGTGTTGTATGGAACAATATGTTATTTCGATATCCCAACTATTCTTGAGTCTAGATGGTAGGAGTAGGTATAGTTCAAGAAATATTATTTGCACCGATTAATGATAAGATTCGACGTTAACACAAGACGGGGCGAACAAGCACCTGATGGTAAGCTACACGCCTGTCAACAACAGGCGCAGTGTTACTCAGAACTTCTGCCACTGCCACTGCTCCCGTCACCCTGAGACATAAGTTGATAAGTCCCGTGTGACTGTAATTTCACCAGCACCACTCCAAAACCGGAACGTAGTAATGATGGCATTACCGCTTGGCGGTAGAAATAGGTAAGGAGGTAGTACTTCCCTGCACGAACTCTATTACCAGGAGCTCTATTGCTACTTAAATTACTGTATAATTAAGGTTTACCATTAAGGCTCAACTGGCAAATAGTAGCGAATATTCTATTTTCATATAAATTCCGGTTACGGCAATCGGCGACGACTGCTGTGTATTCTTTTTCATATCAATTGTATGAAAATAGAATAATTGCTTCTAGTTGCCGGTTGCTTGTATTATCCAACACAAGACACACGTCCTTGTGG